CACACAAAAACCCACCGTAACCGCAAGGTTGGGGTAGAGATTTGTGGATATAAAAGCCCACCAAAATAAAGGGGCCAAGTTTGGGACAACACTGCCCTAGAGCAACGCGCACGCGCACACACACACAAACCCACAGGGCTGGATTAGGGCCAACGGGTGCCCTCAGCCAGCCCAACAGTGGTGCCCCTCAGCGGAAGCAAAACTCTCACGTCCCGAGACGGAAACCTGCGTGCTCTCTGACACCTTCAAACCAAACTGTTTAAACTTTATCCGGTCCCATGCCAAAGAAAACTTTTTTCAAACCATGCAGATTGAAGCCCAACGCGGCAGATAAGGACAATCACGAAAGCTTCCAGGGTGGCGGCGGAAGAGCGAATGGCGCCATAGCGAGGGGGAAAAACCCTTCCCTTGGTGCCTGAAGCAGGTGCTTATTTGGCTGAAGGGGCAGTCCAGGGCTGCCCCCCCAGCCGGCCCTGCCACCCACCTGAGCTCCCCTTCCTGGTGCCGCTCCATTTGTCCCTCTGCGCGCTGCAGCCGTCTGAGCACCTGAGGCCCGACGGGCAACGGAGAAAGGGCAGGGCGGGGCATGGCGGGCGACCGAGGCAGCTGCCTTGGGGACCAAGCAGAGGGTGAGGACAGCAGTTGCTCCCGGGCCAGGCACCCAGCCAATGCCGAGCCAGGCCACCCTACCGCCACTGCCCCTCTCGCCCAGGCCAGACCCCCCCCAGATCAGGGACGGACTGCGAGGAGGGCCGGAGGAGTGGACTGCCCTGCGTCCCCGCCTTTGCATGGAGGGGGTCCGACTGGCGATTCCCCTCCTTCCCTCCCCTTTGCCACCTGCCGTGCCCAGAGAGGGAGGGGGAGGTGAATGAGATTATCTGGCCAGAACTGCAGGGAAAGTGATCTGGGAGTGTCGTGTGCAGGCCCCAAGTCAGGAAAAGAGCATTTAAAAATAGAACCCTTTTCCTTTCTCTCTCTCTCTCTCTGTCGGGCAAGGGAAATGTGTTTCTCCGGTAAGGAAGAATTTGATTTAAAAAAAATAAAACAGAATAAAATTAGTAAGGACTGAGATTTCGGATCCATCCTATTTCTGCTAGATACCTAAAGTTTTGTTCAGGTTCCATGGCAGAAGCGTCTGCAGGGAGGGGGTCAAAAAAGTCAAGATGGCAGCCAGAACCAGGCACGTGAAGCCCTGTGTATTTTTACAAGTGTCACCTGGGGCATCAATGGCATGGTTGTGGCTGCCATTTTGACTTTTTTGACCCCTTTCCCACAGACACCCCTGGTCTGTAGGTATTCCTTGGGAATACTTTTAACATCTCCTTCCTGCCGTGGGACTGGGAGCACTCCAAACCAGATGTTGCGTAGGGCCCCCCAATTCTTTAAATTGCCCCACCAACTGGGCCTGTGAAGCAACTGGCAACCAGCAACTGGGAGCCAAGGCAGAACCACCCACACAAGAGTGATGTGCCACCCCAGAAAAGTATCACTCACCACTTCTGCTGGTCTGTGGACCATCTCCAAGGACTGCCCCACACAGAGCACATTGGAGCAGTCCAACCAGGGGGGTTAGCCCAGGGATCTCTCCTTCCAGAACAGGCACAGGCAGTTTAGCTGTGCCCTTCGCTCTTGCCAAGGCTGCGATAGGGAACCCAGGATGACGCCCCCCCCCAAAGTCATGTGACCCAGCCAGCGGCATCTTTGGGCAGATCTTCTGTAATCTGAAGACCAGCCGCCAGGATCAGCCGCAAATTCCCTTTTCCCCAGTCCGGGAAAAAGTTCTGTTTGCTCTCTGGCACGCCGTCTTTTAGCGACCTGAAAACGCGCAGAAATGTTTGAGGCATCAACCCTCAGCTCCCCCAAAGGAGAAGCACGGCTGGATATCGCCAGCTTAATTTTTGGTATTCAGCTCCAGAGCTACATGGGATCCTTCCCAGGGGCTTCATACAAATATTAAATAACAAAGTATTTTGTTTTATATATATAAAAAACACAGAACCCTGGGGGACGAGTCCCAAAGGACTGAGCAGAAGTCAGAGAGAAGCAAAAAACGTGCCGTGTTGCGCTTCTTGGCCCAGGTTTTTAAACCGTGTCAACAGAACATAGATAGCGGGATCAAAAGTCAGGGGCAGATCCAGGAGCCTCGCTGGGGTCCCCCTTCTGAGATCTCTTTGTTGGGACAGATCCTCAAATACAGCCAGCCTTTTTTATTCCAACCCAAACTAGATTATGGATTTTCTAGATGAGTTTCTGGCCTTCCGCCAGCAGGCCAGCTACCCCTTGGGAAAAGACAGAATATTGAACCCTACGTGCTATAATAGTTGAAATCAGTGTTTCTCAACCTTGGCAACTTTAAGACGCTGGCTGGGGGATTCTGGGAGTTGAAGTCCACCCATCTTAATGTTGCCAAGGTTGAGAAACCCTGGTTCAAATGATTTGAGTCAAGCAATGGTTCTTAAAAAGTTTTTCCAGCTGCTTTCTTAAAGGGAATAATCATCTCAGAAACCCCTAATCGTACAGAGTCTTGAAAGGCCCTTATAAACCAAGTTAGGGAAGGATCTAACAAACCACTGGTGCACCGAATTAGCTTAACTTGGTTACTGGATTAATTTGTTTTCTGAGTGTGCGCACCATACACCAGACCATGAATGAACCAAACTGGCTGGGTTTGCATAACACATTAAGCCACCCAAAATAACCTAACAAGGTTAGCTAACCAAGCTTAGCAAGTTGAGCCAATGTAACGGCTAGGTCTTTAACTAACCTGGGTCTAAGATAATGTGTGAATACAGCCCATGATTAAACTAATTCTGACGCATGTTACTAAATAGTGTACTGGATCTCTCAGGAATGCCATGTGCCAAAGTGGCATCCCCCCCCCCCCCAAACCTTTTGTGATCTGATGTGAAGGCATTTGCCAGGTCTTTACCTGATCTGTCATGCATGTTACATGAATACTGTCTTAAATATGTGAAAAGTTCTTTTATGAAAAAGGAAAACTCACATACATCATCAGCTATGCCTCTCTTGCATTCCTTCTTGTCCCTCTTGGATCTGAACTAAAACATAAACCCCGTAACAGACTAACTCCTGGGCGATTCCCGGTCTGAAATGAGCATTTAATTAGGTAAGCAGCCAGTATGTCTTCGGTACAAATTGATTAATAATAAATAGCTCTCCCATCTGGGCCTGAAACCCATCCCTATCTGGTCCACAGATCGTTGCCTAGCTAATGATTTTTTTAATCCTCTCCATTATCAAATTATTAGTGAACAGCCATCACCCAATAAACTCTAAGAGGCAAGCGTGGGGAGAAACACTGGCAAATTACCTTCATTAAGATAATTGCAGCCGCTTAGCGTGGGCTGCAAGGGAGCCCCAACTTTGACACGAGCGAGCACCACCACTGGTTCACCACCCACACTCTTGCATAGCAATGCAGCCAAGGGCTGATCTCTCCCAGGCACTTCTCTCTGACTGTGGTCCCATTACGGGACTTCCAGTTTAAGGCCCAGGATCCTTGCAGAGCTGGTGAAATGGCTGGGCTTCTGCTCCCGCAGCTTGTGAGTCGATGGTCCCCGAGGGTACGCAAAGGAGCGCCCACAAATTCTCAGTGCCTTTGCAAATTACGGCATCATTCCCAGGATTCCTTGGGGGAGTGAAGACCACTGCAGGGTTGGTAACAACCACATGCCCCTCGCACAGAGCAGGAAGGTCGCTTGGAAGCCCTGGAGTCCAGCCCCCTCCTCTGAATTAAAGCACCCCCATCAATGTCTGCTTAGCCTCAGCGTCAACTCATCCAGTCTGGAGCCCCCCATCTTTCTGCATCATTGCTTTCCCTATTGAATTGTCCTTCCTTTGGGGAAAATTGTCTAACATTCAATCACCTTCCTCGTATTTAAATACATTCTGCATTCTGGGATAAGAGCAAAGAGGTCTGGATCTGATTTCTCCAGCAGGAAGGGGATATTCTTCTGCCTCCAAAAGCAAGGGGTGTAAGTTTGGGCTGATCAAGTTTCGGCCTCTAAGTGGTATGCTCTCGCCTGCCAAGTCTGGTACCGATCTGGAATGTGTCATTCAGGATGCAAAGTTCACCTGGAAGCCAGTCTAAATCCCGTTGTCAGGAGGAGGAAATTGCTAAATTCCAGGGCGAATTGATAGTGGGCTATGCGAACAATGAATGGGCATGCCAGATTGCCCACGTGTAAGACAGAGAAGCAGGTCTTATAAATAGCAGCTGCAAGGGAGAAGCACAATATTGGATCATGCAGTCTTAATATATTTAATCTATAAAATCCTAATGAAATGGATGGGGTGCTGAGACTCACCCGCGGGCTTGAGCTGAGTGCCGTGCTGAAGCAGCAACGATGGGCACAGAGATTTTACATGCAATAAAATCTTCTTCTTTGGCTCCCCTTTAAGGGTCTCTCTAGTCTAGAAATCATCCAAAGTGGTAGAAAAAATTTCCCTTCCCTTCCTGATACACGTGCTGCTTGTCCCCCAAATGGTTGAAATCGCATAAGAAATGGCGAAGCAGCCAAGATAAAAATCCAGATTAAATAAATCTTCCACAATCCAAGAATTGTCCTTCCAACATACTTTTCAGGCTGTGTCCACACAGCACAGTTGAACACCTAGCAAACTGTACCAGCTGCATTCACATACGTGTTAAACTGGGTTAGTTTTAACTTTGGTTTTTTGTTTCTTTGTGCTTAAGGGTAGTAGAGGAATGGGGAGAGTACATGGATCCAAAAGTGAGTTCATCAGTAATCAGATTAAATGCTGTGTGAATGCAGCCAGAGGCTTCAAAAAACCCTGGAAGACACTTGTCAAGAAACCTTGGAAACATCTGAGAATGGAAAAAGATGCACGGAACAGATGCAGAGATGCCCACGGGGGGGGGGGGGGGGGCTCACAAAAGTCAACACACGTAGAAAGAGGCAAACTGCCATCTTAACTTTTTTGACACACACACACAGACACACACACACCCCAGGGACCCCCTGAACAGATGGAACAAGAGCTTCCTGAGGAAGAGGAGAGACAAGTAGCCTGCAATGGCAGAGGTGGTATCAGAAAGACCTGAGCTCCTTTAGATATGTTCGAGATGAAGGGAAGAGAAAGGAAGACCATCTGTCCAGCCAGGATGGCAGAACGCTCCCAGGTAGCAAGGAAAAAGCAGAGCAGTGCTCAGCCTGTCTGGTCTCTCCAACAGGAGTACATGGATTCCACAGGGAGATTAGGAAGAATGAGATAAAGGGACACGACTGAAGTGTGAGACTTAAAGAAATATGTTCGGGGAAGATCTCTTTACTTAGAATGATTTTGAATCTCCAAGGCCAGATGATTTGCGTCCAAAGATACTGAAGGAGCTTGCTGATGGCTGGGCTGAAACATTATGTATTCTCTTTGAGAAATCTTGGTTAAAATGGCAGATGACTGGAGAAGGGTAAGTGTTGTTCCTACTTTCAAGCAGGGAGGAGAAAGGATCCAGGGAACTACAGATTAATTCGTTTGACATCCATACTTGGAAGGATTCTTGAGTAGGTAATAAGGGGATCAAGCAGTAAGCATATTGAGAACAAAGTGCTAATTACCAGA